TTTGCTTTTTTTTTTTTTTTAAGCTTTTAAGACCCAATCAGACCTTGCCGGGCAAGGCAATTTTGCATTTTTATTTATATAATTTTCCTGAAAATTTACAAATTTTAGATTCGAATCCTGGATCGGGTTTTGTTGTCGAGTCGGGTCAAATTACGGGTCTTTAAGGTGAGGAGGATACTGGTGTTTTTTCTCCTTTGAGCTAAAAATGGGAGGGAAAGAGAGAGACAATGGCGTCCACAGGAATGGCGAAATCGAAGGGGAGTTTATGCCTCACACTCTGCAGAAATCGATCACACGCCATGAGAAACGAAATTCATTTCTCACATTTGCCTTTGAACCCAGAAGAAGAAGAAGACGAAGAAGAAGAAGCTATCACGTCCATGAAATTCGAGCCTCGACGGTTTTGGTGTTATACGAATATCGAAATCACCGTCTTCTCTAAAAGCCTTATAGCTCCGTCGATAAGGGTTGCTGAAGTTTTACCCGTTTCTCAGAGCGATTGCGGGAGTTACAGTACATCCACAGGTGTTCTTTTTTGTTCGATTCTTTTGTCATAAGAATGAATACTGTTCATGATTTTTTTGCTTTTGCTTGATTCATTAATGGGAGAATGGTTTTCGAACCTTTGTAATAATTGTGGAAGAGATTTTTTGGGAAAGGAAGATTTTATAACCTCAATTAGCCTTTTGAAGTATTGTTTAAAGCTTTTGGTGTTTGGTGAAATGCTAGGAAGATCTACGGGATGGCTGAAAACATCATAGTGGATTCTCATGTTTGGGTGGAAGACCCAGAAAGAGCATGGATTGATGGGGTTGTACTTAATGTCAAGGGAGATGAAGCAGAGGTTAAAACCAATGATGGCAGAGAGGTATAAGACTTTTTTTTCCCCTTCAGTTCTCTAATGCTCTTGTAGCTCATATTGCTTCCATTTGTAGTCCTTAAGGATTCATCACTTGGTTATCTTCAAGGAAAGTTCTTTTGTAGTCCTTTGTCATGTTAGAGAAATAGTCATGGGATTATATATTATCCTGCCTTGTAGAGATTCTTTTTCTCCCAGAATTAGATGTTCTACACATTGAATATCTAATTACTTTCATCATACATTGCATCCTTTAAGACGTACTATAAATGTTGGTATTTCTTGCAGTCGTTTGATACAAAAACCAATAACTGGATCTTCACAAACAGCTCTCTATCTTACTTTGTTTCTAGTTCTAAAGTCATTTCAAGCTTTTACTGATTTGCCTTCCTTACTCCTGATTCACATTTCCTTTTACTGGTCAGATTATTGCTAACTTATCAAAACTCTATCCAAAAGACACTGAAGGTCCTTCAGAGGGAGTAGAGGATATGACTAGATTATCTTATCTGCATGAGCCTGCAGTTCTCGACAATTTGGCAACCAGATATGAACTCAATGAAATTTATGTAAGAATATTTCATTTCTTGTTGTGAACCAAATATTTTCATTTTTGGTCCTTGGTAAAAACCATTAGTTAATGCAGTGATAGCCGAGTCTGTTATAGTATTTTGACATCATGACAGACTTATACAGGATTCATTCTTATTGCTGTCAATCCCTTTCAAGGACTCCCCCATCTCTATGATGCTGA